GACAAGTCTAAACATGTAACAAAAGGTCCTTTTCTGTTATCTTACTGTTTCTTAAACTTGGTTGTAATGGTGTTATGTAAAATGCCTATATCTCAGCTCTAACAAGTCTAAACATGTAACAAAAGGTCCTTTTCTCTTATCTTTAAACTGTTATCTTACTGTTTCTTAACCTTGGCTGTAATGGTGTTATGTAAAATGCCTATATCTCAGCTCTGACAAGTCTAAACATGTAACAAAAGCTCCTTTTCTGTTATCTTTAAACTGTTATCTTACTATTTCTTAACCTTGGTTGTAATGGTGTTATGTAAAATGACTATATCTCAGCTCTGACAAGTCTAAACATGTCACAAAAGGTCCTTTTCTGTTATCTTTAAACTGTATAAGCTAATACTGCTACCAGTTCAGCAGAGACTTGCATAGAGATCCTACCTTGGTGATTGTCCATTATAAGTAAAGTTGTTTGTAAACCTCTTCTGTCACGCAGTCCTGATTTTTTTTAAAATCTTGCTTTATAATTTTGTGCTTAAGTTGAATTATGATCTTGCTCTGTTGTAGGAATTTTGTGTGTGTGTGTGTGAAACTAGATAAAGTTAAGAACATTTTTTAGGCTTAATTAGATCATTTTGTGCTTAGCAGCATCAAGTTTTGTTTTGCTGACAAAAATGCTGTTCGTTAGGCCATGTTAATATTTGGCCTTATTGGTCTGAGTAATTTCTTGAATGGGTGAAGAAAATCAGTAAAGAGAAGTGGTTAAAATATATATATATTCTAAAATGTTTATAATGTATTAAATATATTATATGAAACCTTCTGATGAACAGTTAAAAAATGTTGGCTTATAATTTTGACATGGTAAAAAGTTATATTTATTCTGTTTCAGTGATTGTAAACACACTGAAACTACTTATGGGTTATTTGTGAATGAAAAAGAAATAGATAAAATTTACAGTTTTATAAAATAAAAATGTGATAGGAAAGTTTTACAAAAATGTATGAAGACAATGAAATCGATATTTGTATTAAATCTAAGTTCTGGAAACCTCAAAAGATTTAATTTCAAATATCGTACATATAAATAAAAATTAAGATATTTTATAGAAGCTAAGTAATGTGTAGGAACTTTATGTCAAGGTTCAAACAATTTAATAGTTTTGTTGCTGTGAAATAAAACAAATTTTGAAACAGATGTGTTGAATTGATACACCTTGGTATTTAAGGCTTAAAGATATTTATCTCCAAAGTAAATTATTATTTGTAATATGTGTTCTCCTTAGTACTTGTCAGGATTTTTCAGCCTTGATGAACACATACTGTCAGTACAATGATGCTCATTTCTGCTTACATGATGGTATTATTGCTATTTCGAAAGACCATGAACCTGCCAACTACTTGACAAAACTTTGAGGGAAAATGAAAATCTAATATTAGGGTTAAAACCATTTATTTTTATGCATCAGCAGTATGAGATGATCTTATACTCAACATTTTTTTAATACAACTTGGAAGTTATCAAATTTACGTGTAACATACTTGTTAAACTTTATTTTATCTTTGCCATTTCTCAAATACAGTTGTTCTATAATTAGAACTACCACGGGGCAGATGGAGCAATGCCCCGCAACACCTGGGGGCCTGGTCTTATCTTCTGAAAAAAAAAAAGGGACCCAATAGTTTCTTTGCCCCCGGGCCCCTGAACTGCATGTTTTCCGCCACTGCCTTAGACCATACGTTTTTGATATACCTAATGTTTTTTTCAGACTTTTAAGGTTATGTCTCTTTTCTGTTGCTCAGTAGAATATTGATTTTTAAATTATTTTTCTGATAAACGAATTAAAATTATTTATATAAAAATTATACTCTTGTTTCTCACATTACAATTAATTAAGCAATGCTTATCTCGTCAGTTATAATGTGGAGACAAATAAAAAAAAAACACTTTGAAGAAAGAATTGTACACCTTAGGGTATTTGTAAAAATCATAAAAAGTCAGTTTCAACTGTTATTGTTACAGATTTTACTGTATAGAAATAAATGGTATCTACTTTTGATACTGTTCTATAGTTATTCCAGTTGTAGATATTCTTGAGAAGGATAACATGTATTGTGTATGGACTTTTATTAGAGTATCAAATCTGTAAAAATTTCTAATAAATCGCTTTGTATAAAGAAGTCTGAAGCTACCTTTTCAGAACTGTTTTGGAAATGCTGTTAAGCTCCAGTTTGGGTGAATGAAAATTTTGAAAAGCTATTTGAAAGTAGCAATGATAAGGAGCAAGTTAAGCTTAGTAGTAGAATTGATATCAGACACTTGTATATTTCGGTGTATGAGACACTTTTTTTACCCCAAAATTTGATTTTAAAATCCACTTGCATCCAATACACCAAAGCTTTGAATAATATATATGTATGTATATATATATATATG